ACTCAGTGGAATGACGAGGGCTTGATTCGCTGCAAAAGTTGAGAAATGTTCTGACTGATTTTCATAAATAAATATCTAAAATGGCATCGGTAAAAACAATAAAGACATTTAGAAAAACGATATTGTTGGTTTGTCATTGATATTTTAATTCATCACAGTCACAAGGCACGAAACAAAGTTACAAAGGACAGACAAGTTCATGTTTTGATTATTTATTTACTGGCATCGGTTCATTATTCTCAGCCTTATTGTGAGGTCCTGATACGAAGGCCAGCAAGATTAGTGGCGGAAATCCTTCAGCATTTGGCTCCGAATTTTATTGAAGAACTCTGGCCTCTAAGCCGCTTAAAATCATGAGTTTTGAGCTTGTGGTTAGAAATATCCGCTGCTAACTTTTCGAAAGCCTAATTATTTCAGTGATTTCGGGGATTTTAGCAAAATATTGAGAGTTTATCCGATGCAGCTCGTCGAACGTTCGGAATAAGGCATGACGTGACATGGAGGAGAAACTGAAACGGTATTTAGAAAATAATTATTCAAGAAACAATTGACATCTCTCTTGAAAAGCGGGCGTTAGTGCAAGAATAACTAGAATAAATGTTTACCTCTTCCTATACTCCCGAGCATGCACGATGAACAACAAAACAAGATGGTAAAGCATCAATCAGTCTTCATTTCGTTCATGAACATTTCACCCTCTAATTACCGAACGATGGCACGTTATTTCTAAGCGTTTGATGCATTAAATTCATCTAAGGTTGCATGTATAAATACGACGGAACTCGAGCCTCGTGGTCTAGTGGAGGACGAGGCTGCCGCAGGGCCTGTTTCGATCGAGATTGCGCTCGATTTCCCATTACAATCTTCACCCACTTTGCAAAATTTTCAGTGATTGGTTCCGTAACTAATTTCTGCTCTTCAAGTCCCATTGTTTAGGGACGACACCTGACCTCTGTTAGCGCATTTTCTCATTTATGGAAAAAATTCACTATTGTGCTCGCCATGTCCGTCTGTCTGTCTGTCTGTCTGTCCGTTCGTCCGTCTGTCCGTCTGTCCGTGACCTCAAGTTTTCGTCGACGAGAAAATGCGCTCTCTGTCACTCACTGCAGTGAGTACTGAGTTATATTTTCTAGTCTTCCGTTCGACCTGTATAAGGAAGAGGGTAACTCTAGCGACTCTAGTTACGCAATCAAGAAGTTAACCACTTGATAAATGGTCTAAGGTCATGAAGAATTCCCGTAAATTTATCTACTGAAATTTGCGCAGCTGTTATATAAATAACTTTTCATTTTTTACCCATCTAAACCGCACGTCATATTTTACTCTTTATTCGTATATGGGAGGCACATTTACGGATACGATAAATTATTGCAATAAATAAATTAGTTTATTTGATATTTTCTGCTCCTGAAATATGTTATCAAAAAAGTCAAAATATTAAAAATATATTATTGAAACTAATATTTTTAATATATTACTAAAAATGAAGTGAACACCTAACGACGGTTAACATTAGGTAACTAGTACTGATTCTACCTTACACATGAATAAAATATGATGCGTCAACGGGCTAACAGAAAATATTACATTTATTGCTGCTTAAGATATTGTTTGGAAGCATTTAATTAACCTCGATTGTTTTGTAACTCAAGGGCTTCAAAAAATACCGGAGTTCCGGTAGCGTGAACATTAGAATGAAGTACATGTAATCAAATTTAACGAAACTCTTGTCCAAAATCATTTCATGTTATATTCGATAGAACCATAGAGGCACAATTTTCTCTACAGACAAGATTATTAGCTGCCGGCCTCAGTGCTACCTTCTTGGAACAGTACAAAACAACCATCAAAATAACGTTATGTTCCACTGACAGGGCTATACAGGATTTCTTTGTTTCATTGAGCAGGACAAGACAGAAATTAGGTTAACGTTTAATTCCACTTAAAGTAAATTTCATTGTTTATGCTACGATATAAAGATCGGGACGTTAGCTCATAGAGGCACAATTTTCTCTACAGACAAGATTATTAGCTGCCGGCCTCAGTGCTACCTTCTTGGAACAGTAAACAACCATCAAAATAACGTTATGTTCCACTGACAGGGCTATACAGGATTTCTTTGTTTCATTGAGCAGGACAAGACAGAGATTAGTTTTACGTTTTATTCCACTTAAAATGGATCTCTTTGTTTATACTGCAAAGTGAAGCCCGGGACGTTAGCTCATTAGCGTGAAGTACGCGCAGTGTGAAGTAAAGCACTTCGAGGTTTACCTAATTAGGTAACCCAGATATAAATATTTATTTGGAAGATGGGAGAAATATATAATTAACTGGTGAACAGAAAACATTTCCAATTAAATCGAGTTAGTAAGAGCCTCATTAATGAGCACAAATGTTCGAGACTTCTGGCAACTAATTGGCTTAATTAGAGATGATAGGGACAATGAACTCTAGGATCATTCAGAAGCTACATCAATAGGGAGACTTAGCTTAGGTCAGAAAAAGAGATGTGATGGTCGGTTAATAAATATACATAATGAGATAAATATTTTATTACTTGCACAACGTCAACATCGTGAAGTGCTCGACTGGTGTCTCTTATATGTGACGTGCTTCTTTAGGAATCACCAAGTTGGAAAGTATGTTTTTTACTCTTAACACCAGAATGAATGGACAAAAATTTGCAAGGGAGGCGCAAATTGGAAACTCTGGGCCACTACTGAGGATTTTTCATTTCGGAATGCAGCCAACAATATTTTGTTACGAGTGTTATGCTGTACGCGTTGCTGGTCGCCGAGCACATGTAAGCTCTTCCACTAAAGTATGCAGGCGAAGAGAACAAACTGGGACCACGACCTTTGTTCACGTTCACGACTATAACCCTCACATTGTAACGGCTGAAATATTTGCAGCAAGCCAGTTACTGGAAAAGCAGAACTTATGATAATAAATGCTTCATTCTGACGTCTCGGACAAATTTACGGCCCTTTTCTGGAAACAAAATTTTCGGCTTAAACATATGGAGCTTGTCATGTTGTAGATTTTTTCCGGCAGATCTCGGGCCAGAAAAACAGGTCATTTTGGTCACAGGATGGAGTCAAAATTTTATGAAATTTTCCAACGGTTTCTCTGTGAACTCGATTTTAGTCGCAAGGTAAATACCGCCTAAAAATTTAGCGACACTCTGAGCATGGGATTGCCTGGAGCATCTGTGTGGACTTGGCTGAATGCTAATCAGGCGCGCCGAGTGTGGATTAGCGTCCACTTCGGGACTTAGTGAAGCTTAGGAGCAAGTCATTTGTTTTTAGATCGAAAAGATGCTCGTTTCTGCATCTGAATATTAATTGAGTTACTTTCCTGCCCGACGTTGCAGCATTCACCCTAGTACAGGGCTAGTTAGCTGCAAATTGCGACCACCCTAGTAAAAGGCTAGTTAGGGGCTCATAATGATCGCCTTAGCAAGGGGCTAGCTATGTTCACAAAATAATCACCCTAGTAAAAGGGCTTGTAACTATTGTAATAACCTAAGAGTAAGATTTTATTGGATAGATTTTTTGGATAAATATGCTTCATTTTAATGGAATTTAGGTTCGAGAATTCGATTAGCAAAATAAATATATAGTTGAACGACTGCTTCGATTGTCTTAATTGATGAAGTTTTGTGACAAATTAATGTAAAAATATTAAAGCCATCGGTCATATGCGTTGTTAACAAGCTAGGCAAATCATTTACCTGGTATGAACTCAGGAAGACTGTAGTAGGTATATAAATACAGCACGCACTCACGACATGAGCTCTAAAAGAGCAAGAGCTCCCGTGGGCGCATTGAATTGGTGAGCTCGTTATCGTAGCAAGCTCGGAAATTATTAAAGAACGGATAATGGATTCATAGATCCTTTGGGAAATTATCCGAAGCAAATGGCGTGAGATAAATTTAGGGTATTCTGCTCATCGTGCATCTTGGAAGGTAATGGGTCGGTCTTTCATCTTATCATCTTACGATGATAGATATGTAGCAGACAATTTTTTTTTCAAATTTTTTTAATATCAAAAATATAATTTTTTTAATTTTCAAATATATTTATTCTGTCAATTGATTCATGCATTGTCTCCAACTTTACGCAAGTTTGCAAAATTTCAGAACGATTGGAGAGGTAGAAGTGTGCTAAAAACTAAAAATCAATTATAAGATTTGTAGCAGACAGACAAACAAACAAACAAACAAACAAGAAGTGAAGTTAAAGAGAAGTGTTGTAAAAATAACTGCAACTTTTATTTACTGTATCTAACCCGTACTGGTTCGGTTAGGTTAATTGCAATAAAGTTGCATTTATATGTTTTAAACATGTTTTATTATCATTAAATGTTAATGCGTAAATCCCAATAGCGGAACAATAAATATTTAGAGATTTCCAATAATTTTGGCCATTGTAGCGGCTAATGTAGCGGCGCTACATTTTACTGTAGCGGAAGCGGTAGCGCTCGCTACAATCTAGTGGGTGTAGCGGTAGCGGTAGCGCCCGCTACATTTAGATTATGTAGCGGTAGCGGTTGCACCGCTACATTTCAAAGTAGCGCTGCCCAGCTTTGGAGATAATACAGAGACTTTTGTCATGCTTTTGTGTCAACATTTAACCATTGCGTCAAGCAAACTAAGCTGCCTCATATATTGAGGATCATTTTGTAAATAAATCTTTACTTTCTTCTTCAGCTTTTTTTGTACGAGTAGTATTTGTCCGCTCTGTACATGAGCTTTGGATAAGAAAGTGTGTTATGATTTGGACTATGTGACCCATTCATTCTTGTGAGTGTAGAACAGCAATTCTCCACTAACTCCCGCATTCATCTTGTTGCTGCTCTCGCATGTCTCGTCGCTTGCGCCATTTGTCGTCGCTTACAGATGATAATCACGACCAATTTGATTTTCGGCATCGCTTCGTATCAATGTAAATTCAGTTTTCTCTTCGATCTTTATAATCAGTTCGTGTTTTCCTCGTAGATGGGAAGCACCACATGCTGTCGACGGGGGAACTGCGTGTGTTGCACGTGTCGCCGGCTGATGGCAACGCTAGATTTCGTTGCCGCTTCCTCGATACTTTGTTGCACACAAAGGTAAGAAAAAACTCGTGAGCGGGTTAAGAGATGTAAAAATATCGTCATCGGTGCAGATAGATCGAACATTTCGAGTAGCTGATTGGAGGTTTACGTATAAAATTGCATACTGAGAGCGTAGAGATTATTCAAGTTTCTCGTGAAGTTGACGCTGTAATAGCAAGTGCGTCGACGCTTTGTTCAATCGCCCTAGCTGCCGCTTCGAATCAGAAAAAATTGATGCCGGAATTTCGCTTTGCAAATCTCGTTTGATACTCCGAGCGGAGCGTGCATCACACTGATGAGAAAAGACATTGATGTCGGCGTCATGCCAGGAGATGATGCCATCGGCGTCTTTCAAAAGCACAGATAAGCGCGTTGCATCAACGGAAAGGAGTCTAAATCCCTGCAATCAACTCTGAAAAGTTATAATCCGTATTGAATGACTCAAATATAATTACCATTGTATTCATGTGAATGAGATCTATTTTCTTTTATTCGAAAATTATAAGTTGATTGCATCAACAGAAAATGTTGAGACCTGTGTTAGTGTACAGATATTTGTAAGTATTATTCTATCATCAAGAATTAATTAACATGCGAAGTAGATGCCACGCAAATTCACTATATCTTCATGATAACGGTTCTGCGACCTGCTTCATCATCAATTCAAAAAGTTGCGGTGAATTTGCGATATAAGCAGACCAATGATATTAGTACCTATTTTACTTTTATCATGGCAAGGACGATGTCGTCCTAGTAATACTTGTATTTCAGAGATTGTTGAATGTAAAATTAAGTTGATATAATAATAATAGTGACATATTCTCCAGAATGTTCCGTCTGAAAGATTGTGGCAGCTGTGGAAATTACGAAGAAGATCGCATTTACAGATGGATATAAGGAGTAATCTGACGTGAATAATGTACTTGTATTATTTGTGAGTTCTATCAAGAGAGAAATTTATAATTTTTGACTAAGCTGAACTCCATGTAGCCAGAGCAGTTACCTCCTGCGTGTTCTTTGCTTTGCCCACGATACCTGTTTTACTTAAGTAAATTACTATTCTGCTATTAGTATCTATCAGGCGAACTGAACTTGATATGATTCTGATATAAGAGATGAGATGTTTCCTGAGAGATAGAAACGAAATTCTGGAAAAAGCGTTAACCAAGGTTAAGTACTGTAGTAATAATCTATTAATGTGCTCCGGTGCAGTCTGGATGCGTAATAATATGGCTTATGCAAATGTTAGCAGAAAATTGAGGTATGGACTGTGAGTGTCGTCTAAATTATCTGTAAATGAGCGTCAATTTCGCAGCTTAAACTGAGGATAGTAGATTTTAAGTATAATAGCAAACTGAACGGCTTATGTCGAAACGTCAAAATAATGATCAAAAACGTCATTTAATCACTCGTGCAGAAAGGACCCAAAATTATTTCCGAATTATTCTTAAATGACACCAGTTTTCCGATTGAAATAGGTGCTATGATGGGCTTTGGGTATTCATTTATCTCAAAAACCTTCCTCCGAACTGGCGAACATATCTTCCCTTACTCCTCTAAATATGGGACAAGCTTGTTCACCAACAGAAAGGTATGTCCATCCCCTCTTAAAGATAACCCCACTGTCTTCAGTACAGGCGAACATATCTTCATTTACTAGTCTCATGACAAGCTTGTTCACCGCCAGTCAGGCATGATCATCCCCTATTAAAGATAGCCCCACTATCTTAAGTACAGGCGAACATATCTTCATTTACTCGACTTATGACAAGCTTGTTCACCGCCAGTCAGGCAAGTTCACCCCCTCTCAGCCGCGCGCTACGCAGGCAGCATTAAGAAGGTACTGTATGCGCTCCTCGAGTGCTATCGCTGGGGCACTAAACTAAATTAGCTTAGGCAAGGTCCTCGTATTAATACACGCCCCGTCCACGTTAAGTGCCACGCCAAAATCTTCATAATGGCTGCCGCAATATTTCCCTCGTCTTCTTTACAAACCAAGCGGATGTTTAGCTGCAAATATTCTAGTGAGATATGAACCCGCGCGGCTTTTGAAGTGAAATGTTTCACTGGTTGCTTTGAGCCAAAGTTGATGATACCGATAATAATTTTCAACATTAAGCTGCGAGGTTACAGAAGTTAAACTTCATTGCTCGTCGCGCTTACAAACAACACAACTTGAAGTTAAAGTACAATACAAAAAATATAAATTCAGTGCAATATACCCCGTATATAAATCAATACGATTTCGAAGTCTTGAAGTATTTTCCGAATAGGTCTCGTGAACTCTGGCCTCTAAGCCGCTCAAAATCATGAGTTTTGAGCTTGTGGTTAGAAATATCCGCTTTTAACTTTTCGAAAGCTTAATTATTTCAGGGGTTTCTGGGATATTAGCAAAATGTTGAGAGTTTATCCGATGCAGCTCGTCGAACGTTCGGAGTAAGGCATGACGTGACCTGGAGGAGAAACTGAAACGGTATTTAGGACGGTGTCAATTCAAGAAACAATTGACATCTCTCTTGAAAAGGGGGCGTTAATGCAAGAATAACTAGAAAAATATTTACCTCATCCTATACTCCCGAGCATGCACGATGAACAACAAAACAAGATGGTAAAGCATCAATCAGTCTCCAGTTTGTTCATGAACATTTCACCCTCTAATTAAAAAACGATGGCGCGTTATTTCTCAGGAGGAAGCTTTATCTATCATAAAAAGAATGATTGGGGCTATACCATGCAGGCACGGTACAGTCACGATCTAGACAAAAGATATTTGACCGAGACGTGACCGCGGCGTTACCAAATATTTATTTCCGGATATACCAGATTGTCAGCTCAGCATACCTGATTTGAGCGAATATACTAAATTAAAAATATCCATACCGGCCCCCATCGTCTGTTCGGTATAGACGTTGTACGGTGACTGGCATGGCATGTGACATGAAAGGAACGGAAGTGAAAACGGCCCGTGATCGGACTGAAGTGAAGACGGCCCGTGACCGTTTATTATTTCTTTACTTAATGTTTCACACCGGCCTGGCACGTGCCCGGCAGTATAGTGTGAACCAAGCCTAAATCTGCATGTCCCTGGAAGAGATGGGACTCTGAGGCCACTAGCAAGTTTCTCGTAATGAAATTTGACCGTCTCGTCGCATTACGTTTAGGCAAGAATAAAGTCACATGATATGGTGAGAATCATCGTCGAGAAGATAGGAAAATAGATACGAAGCAATACGTTGCTGTGTCCAAATGCCCGTCATAATTGCACAGGATTCGTCATTAACGGGAACAAAGTCCGGCTTTCGTCGTTTTGTTTGATGTCCGGTAATTGAGAGCGAATACGAAAATCCAATATAATTTTAATTTTTAAAATTGATGGAGAGACGCGAATGCATGTTGGATGCAAGGTAGCGAACCGGTAGGATGATTGAGTTACAAACTATTACCAACGCGCTTTGATTTTTTTATAACGGGTTTGATGGAGGCTCGTGAAAACGGTACCGCAAAAGTAGAACTGACAGTTAATGAGATAAGCATAAAGACCGGTTGGTTTAATTTGAAGTTGAAATTGATTTGAATTAACGTTCATATCAAGGTTTCAAAAAGGATTACACTTAGCATGTGAATGGACTCGATTGTCTGGGGAAATAAGGCATCCTGTATAGCCTCAAAGAATAGTTTATTTTGCATATCCTACAATTTGTAGGATATGCAGAATAAACATGAAATGAAATTGCATTATGAAATTCTACCGAGCAAATTATTGTTAGGCTTGTCCTAAAATTAACAGTATAACAGTATTGCAGTGGAATTTTTTTGCAATTTTTTCATATCATTTCCTTGTGATGAGCTCTTAATTTTTCACAATAATAGTTTTCATGTCTCAAGACTGCGTCCAGGGTAGGTAAATGTAAGAGGCTCCGGCATTTCTTTCAAAGAAATGCAGATCGGTTTTCGCTTAGCCGAGTTTTTTTACATAATCTGTTATGTATCGTATCGTTCTAGCTTCGTGTTTTGTATCGTTCAAAAATTTTCTGGCTTTGTGATGTTAATAAATTGAACTTTCCGTTAACAAACTGAGTTCATGATTGCTTGAAGATTGTACCCCAATCTGCATCGTTGGTAACGGCTTTAGCACATAAATTAGAAATACTTGCGAAAATATTATGCGCGGTTAACCAGTTTTCAGAACGCAAGAAAATGTGCGTCGAAATCTATCAGACTTTTATGACCGAGTGTTATTGTAACTAGTTATTAGTAAAATTATCAAACGTCATCAGGCATCATTTCAAATATCTATAGGAAAAACCTGCAGTGACAACAGACATTAAACCGGTGATAATATCTTGTATAATTTATGGAAAGAATGAATATATGCTATAAGAAAATTTGCGATAATCAAGCAAAATTCAAGCACAAAATAAACAATACATAAAAAGTGTGTTCGCTTGGTCCTCTAGCCCCCTATTAAGCCTCATGTAAAACTTCTTTCATTTTCTTTATTACTGGCTGACTCTGACTTCAGGATCTTTCTTAGAAGTGCAAATAAACACAAATTTAAATTAGAGATATAATCGAGAGAATTTAAACGCAGAATATGGAGCAAGAGTACAGTAAAATAAAAGGAGCATTCATTAACAATACTATTCACGATCGCTAAGAAAACCACAAATCAAGCACTTATTTGTCCTTATGTCAAGTACAGGAACTCCTCGTCCATGACGCCCCGTTTTTATAAGTAAATAATTTGATCAACATGAATTAATTGGGCAGGATAAAATTCCACCACAGAGGCCGTACCTCTGAGAAGGAGTCTCGGACAAAACACGTATTAGGAATTCCTTAACTAGGTCTCGTCAAAGGTGGCTAAAACCCAAGCGATAAATCATAAGTATTCTAAAGTGGAAGAAAAAGTTTTCCTACACGAAATAAATCTATCGTTACCACCGGGAATCAACGGATAAACTCGGCTGGAAACTTTCGGATAAACTTGGAAAGTCACGTC